ACCAAATCTCAAAGGTGAAGTCACATTTTGACCCTGCCCTCTTGTTCGAAGAAAGTTTCTGGGGCCACCAACACTTGAGGGGAGGTGATTACAGAAGGGTACAAATCCAGGAAGTGAGCCTCACTGTGAGTGATTTGGTTTTTGGTTTTTTGTTTTGTTTTGCTTTTTGCACGGTTTCTCTGGGAACCCCAGGCTAGAATTGAACTGAAGAACCTCCTGCCTTAGCCTCAGTTCAGGGATTAGGGTGTCTGTCACCATGCCTGGCTCAGCGTCACTTTAACTGCTATCCACCTATGAAGCTTTCATAAGGTATTGACACACAAGATAACAAACAACACACTAAAGGCCAAGGGGTGAATCCAGATGTGTCTCAACAAACAACACGTGGCCAACTCTTCACTGAATGCCTGTGTACTGGGCACTATGAGAAGATGCAGAACATACAGTGATGACTGAGGCACGGTACCTTCCAGAAAGGAACTCTAGCTGAATGACTTAACTACTTTCTTCTTTTCCTTTTCTGACACCTGCCACTCCGTTTTTGCGAATATCTATTTAAATCTCTGGATTCCTGTGGGAGTATAATTACCCCTGAAGGAAAACATCTCTCTTTCATCTTTCTGCATGCTTGTGTCTTTCACAATACCTGACATACAGGAATCCTTGAAATCTACACTTTACATTTACAAAAGCAGACATGGCTGGTTATCAGCCATATACATTTTCATGTAAATCAGTAGTCCCAGTCTTCTGAGAAGTAGCCAGTGATGGGGGAGAGGTGCTTAGGAGCTGCCTGACAGTGATGCTAAAGGAACCATGCGGAGAGGAAGCTCTGGGAAGCAGGTAAACTTTGACCTTGTGCTATCAGGACCAACTCAGTGAGGAAGCTCTGCTGAAGTGTCTCCGGGTCTGCTTTTCTCAGGGTTCTGCATGTTCTCTGATACAGGCAGGGATTATATGCCACAGTTTTGGCACTGACATAGCTCCATTTCTCTCTCAAATAATTGCATGACTATGAACTCTCAATAATTACTATGTTTAATTAGAAAAGGAGGCGATTCAGCTAATGAGGACAGGTGATAAAAACAACTGTGAACATTTCTTTCAGATTTACTTTTTGCATAAACTTCACTCCAATTAAGCTCCAGTGAACCACAATAATTTTTTTTTTTTTTGGAACTGTGGCCGGTGCTCATTTACATGACTATATTGCTGAAATGATTCATGTTTGTGGAAGACTTAGAATATGGAAACATCATCTTCCGTAGGACTCAAACTTAAGTGATGTTTGGAGTCAGTTTATGTTAGGAAGGTAAATTTGGGGTCATAAAGGTGATGCTGAATGAAGTTTCCGAAATATTTTTAAATGGGTAACTCGATGGAGATCTTTTCTGGAAGCAAAAATTAATTATTTTTTCTTAAAGTAGAGAGGCTGGGATTGTAGCTCAGCTGACAGAGTGCTTGCTCAGCAGGTGCAAGGCCCTGGGATAGACCCCCAGTATTGTAGAAAATTGGATGTGGTGGTACGTACCCACATTCACAGGGAGAGACAGGACAATCAGAAGTTCAAGGTCATCCTTGGTTACACAGTGAGTCTGAGGTCAACCTGGCATAAATGAGGCCTTCTTTAAAAATTAAAAAAAGAGAGAGAGAGAGAGAGAGAGAGAGAGAGAGAGAGAGAGAGAGAGAGAGAGAGTTTCTCTATAAACAAAGGTTTACAACCTATGGGTACGGCCCTTCTTGACTTTGCTAGATAGTCAAGGAAGGCGACATACTGTCACTCCAGTCCACAAGTACCATCCAACCAGGGCAGAACTGAGAAAGGAGGTCCCTGGATGCCAAAGATCCTGTGTGTGAAGTCTAGGAGTGACGAACAGGCCAAAGGGATGATAAGCCTTTCCACTCACAGCACGAGGGTAGGAGTGGACTAAGATGGGAAGGCAGAGAAACCTCAAAGTCTACCCCCAGGGACAGACATCCTCCAGTAAGGCTAAACCTTCTAAGATTCCAATGCCAGTGCCTATAGGGGGCATTTCCATTCGCACCACCACAGGGGTGGGGGGCCGGGGGTTCAGAGGACAGTAGTAAATACACTTCGTTATGAAGATGACTGAAGGAGCCAGGAAGTGGAAAGAACTAAGAATAAGGTCTTGTGGCCATTAAGGCTGATGTGTGTTTGTTCAGTGAAATAAATGAGCATGTACACACCCATCCAGACAGGCCCAGCTAACCTTTGCCAGGCAGAGAAAATGAAATGCACCCAAGTGAACAGCAATGGACGGCAGCAGTGCTGTCCCCAGATCATAAACTCAAATCCGTGTATCGCCTTGACTTAGAGGCCCAATGCTGTCATTTTATTAGTGATAAATGCTAATTCTTTTTCCACATTTATTTCCTAAGGGGCACTGCACATGCCTGGAACATAATGGGAACCCAATATAAAAACAGCTCAGTGCTACTTCTGGATTTTTAAGTTTGGTTTCCCTTTGGTTGGTTGGTTGTTTTGGCTTTTTGTTGTGGTGGTGGTGGTTTGTTTATGCTTTTGTTTGAGACAGGGTCTCACTGTATAATCCAGGCTGATCTCAAAGTCAACATTCTCCTGCCTCTACCTCCCCACCGCTGGGCTTACGGGCATGGGCCATCATACTCCGTGAAACGTTGTGTTTTTAAAGCCACATGTTCATTAAAAAAAAAAAAATCCTGCACTTTCAGAGGACGTGGCATTGTAATCACAGCATTGTCGAGATGATGTTTTGGAACCTTCACACTTGCTTCCAACTGTAGGGATTCTCAGAGTCCTAAGAGGTCCAGTCTACCTTGCCCTAAAGTGTCCTCAGTCCAGACTCCCCACCCCTACCCCGGGGCACGGAAGTCACAAATCAGGAAGTATATATTCTGGTGTAGTTATTAAGGAGACAAAGGGCAGTAAACAAACCCCATGGTGGTTCCATCTTCAGAACACATCCATAGCTGGACCAGTTGGTACTACTACTCTAGCTACCTGAGCGACCACCAGGATCTCCTCAATCATCCGCTGCCAGCCTCCACTTCTCCCCTTACCATCCCTTCCCAACACAGCAGCCAAGCAGCTAAAACACGGCGTCATGATCCTCCTCTGCTCAAACATTTATGCCGGTTCTCGACATTTCAAACGGGGAACACTTTACGGGATTTGGTTACAAAGATTCCTAATTGCTAGAGCAGAAGCCATGTGGCAAAAGCCGCCTGACTTGAAGAAGGGCGGGGGTGGGTAAGGGGTGGTCGGGTAGGGTGTCTTTCTTTCTCCCATGCGCAGCCTCCTGCCAGCACTTCTCATTGGCAGAAATTGCCTGAATACCATCAGGCTAAGGAGTCTGGGAAGTGTAGTTTTCAGGCTCCTGTCCCCCGCGTCCAGGGGAAAGTATAGAAGAGGAGCATGTGACATTGACCAGAAGCCCAAGTTCTTACCACGGCTTCTGAGAAAGGTTCCCGCCACCCAACATACGAGCACACATATTTCACATGCAAGGGCACATATACACACCACACATGCACACCACACACGCACACATCTTCTCTTCTGCCCCGTGACCCCCATCTGTCCCATAGTGCACCGCCTGCAGCCACACTGGCTTCTTGGCCCCTCTCCTTCCTGCAAGTCTAGCGTGGTTGTTTCCTCTGTGGGGTCTACTCTTACCCCAGACATCTGCAGGGCTCACTGCAACACAGTTCTGCTAGGCCTTTTCTGAAGACACTTTTCAGCTCGTCCGCAACCACTTCCAGTTCTCAGTCCCGTGAGGTGCTTTGTTTTAGCATGGATTTATCCCTTTCTAACAAGCTATACATTCTGTACATAGCTGTAGTGTATAAATGTATATTTCTCTGTAGCATTTTATATAGCTGTCACATGTGGGAGTATTACATAAATATACGTATTTAGGCATCTATACTTTTACCAAAATATAAGTTCCAGAGGAACCAGGATCTTGTCTTTTTGACTACTTCTATATCTTTGATGCTCAGTGGGTATTTGTTTTGTTTTTTTGTTTTTTCAAGAAGAAAATTTAGTTTTGGCTCATGATTTCAGAAGTTTATAGTGATCCAGCAGTAAGGTTTAATATATTTAATACCTTATGAAGAGGTCAGATGTTGTGTTTCCATCACAATAATAAATACCTACCTACTGAATGAACATAATTAGTGTAGCCATTAATAGACATATTTAGCGTGTGATTATTTAAAAAGCTAGCCACCCTTAAGAGCGTGCAGGACAGGTGAGGGAATGACAATCGTGTGTGTGTGTGTGTGTGTGTGTGTGTGTGTGTGTGTGTGTGTGTGGTGAGGTGTGTGTGAGAAATTCAAGCCAACACTTCTCACACCTTCTTCTCTGCACAGCCTCCCTAAATCTACCAAGGAAGTAGTGAAAGATAACTCAGAGGTAAAATACGTGCTTAGCATGTGCTAGACCTTGGATTCAATCCTCAGCACCAAAAGAAAGAACAACCCACTAAGGCTAACAATGTATCCTTCTTATACTCCAAAGACATTGATCCCACCCTGCAATTAGTCCATCCTAGTAAAGCTACACTGCACACTACACTTGAACTACCTGTTTGCACATCTGTCTCCACTTAAACTGTAAGACCCACAAGATGCCAAAGGCCTGGTGTCTTTGGGTCATCTGAGGCCTCAAGCACCTACGATACTGCCGTGTGTGTGTGTGTGTGTGTGTGTGTGTGTGTGTGCGTGCGTGCGTGCGTGCGTGCGTGTGTGTGTGTGTGTGCGTGCGTGCGTGCGTGTGTGTGTGTGCGTGCGTGCGTGTGTGTGTGTGTGTGTGTGTGTGTGTGCGCGTGTGTGTGTGCGTGTGTGTAAGGCAGAAAGGTGAGCAGCTGTAAGAAGCACGCAGGGAGGCAGGAAACAGTGACACCAGACACAAAGGACTCACGGGGGAAATAAGGAAGCAGACAAGAGCCTCGTGGCCTCCAAGGGCGTCTGCATCTTTTTATTAGAAGTATTCATATCGTCCACGTGCAACCCACCGTTGATTTAACAGAGTCTAAGAGAATGACAAACCTTGAAGAATCACTAAGCTACGAAGTCAGAACTATTATCGGAGATAAGCCGCCAGTCTCGCTAGGTAACGGATTTCGGTGTCATTCTCTCTGAGTGTGGAGAGTGGGTGTGCAAGCTACAAAAGTTCATCAACAAGCGTGGTTTTAAAACTTAATAACCGTCTTTAAGAGGGAAGAGTCACCCTTCACATGCGCATGCGTGGGCGGTAGAAACACAATGTCTATCAGCCCTCTTGGTTTTTCTCTTAGAGTTTCCTTAGATCAGCACAGAACACCTGCTGTCCGTTTTAAAGAGACGCTGGCTAGATCGTAGTCCTGAAATAGACCTGTGTATTTGGTAATTTACTAAGGAGCTGGCAGAATTTTTATCACAAATACGTGCTTGAGCACCAAATTTATCACAAATAGGTTTGGCGTGGCTTATAACCTCACCAGGTAGAGGCACACAAAAATATCATGTATCATCCCCACCTGAGTGGGAGTGCATCTACCTGCCTGCCTAGCCTGTGCCAGAGCACTCTGCCACTTAGGAGCAGCTACAGAAAGAGGGCCTCCTCAGCTCACGGTCTCTGGGATGAGCATGCTATTTTGCTGGCAGAGGCCTGCCAGGACCAGGACCACCAGTGTCGGCTGTACCTCCCCTCTTCTGCTTCATTAGAAATTCAATTTGACCAATGACAATTTCATTGCATTATGAGCAACAAGAATCTGGTTCATTGGAAATCCACTTCTTGATTCCTTTCTCACCACATTATTTTTGCAAAATAACTCCCAGCCCGGAAAATGACTTCAACCTGCTGCCTGAAGGGTACATTTATTTATTTGTTCACTGGTGCAAGGGGAAGACTGAGCTAAATCAAATGAGAGGCACGCACGCACGTGTTCCTGGAAGGATAATTTTAGATCCAGTTCCAAAGCAGATTCTAATTCAAAAGTGCCCCTGTTACTTAGACCCATGCAGAGGTGCTACCGGCTCCACAAAATGCCATCAAATGATTTGAGATTTGCCAGTGGTTGGAGCGACTGCAGCTGCCGCGGCTCCCTTTCTGAGAGAAACAGGAGGAAGAGGGACGGTTTATTAGGAGTAGCATGTGAGAGTGCAATGAAAGCAGATGTGAAAACCAGGGCTGCAGACTAACTACGGGCTGCAAATTCGGCAAGGCTGCAGGCCGTTCTCGTTGCAGGCAGGGCACCTGAGGGCTCGGTAGGACTCCTTGAACCTGTTAGCCAGCATTGAGAACTTGCTGCCATGGCACAGAGAGCAGGTGGCGATGCCGGACCCCTGGCAGTGGAGACAGTTGTCCTCAGGGACCAACCCATCCTGCAAGAGACAAGCCAGGCTCCAGTTAGACCAGTGGCTCAAGCCCACCGTTTTCAGAGATCAGAACAGTGCTAGGTCTTGGCAAAGACCGGAGCAGAATTGCAGAAAATGTTTCTCCCATCAATGCGAATGAGGGAAATGGCCAGGATACAGAATGGCAATTTCATCAGAGAGGATTTCTCAGATGAACATCATGAGCGCAACATCTTCTGCCACCACATCTGGCCTTCTTCAACTCTCTGCTCTTGATCACCCTTGTTCCCAACTGATACAAGCTCCACAAAGGGAAGACATGACTTTGCATCCTGACAGACAGTGTAACAAATCTCAGGAGGTGCTCAAAGAAACCAGGAGCTTCCTTCCCCCAAGGCTTTCCTGAGTCTCGTTCAAGGCACCCTCACAAGAGTCCAGTGCATACCATCACCCGAGTGTGGTAGGAAAATGCCCTAGGGAGAAGCTACCTGGCAGTGTCAGACACATGGCCTGGAAGAAGACCAGGCAGGTTTTGATCCTTTGGAACTGAGCACCGGACTCCAAGCTCCTCGGACTGTCCACATAATCCCCTCCTCGGATTATGTGGACACTACCAGGTGTTCAAGAAGGGATGTTTTCCGCAATTGGCAGGCAGGGTGAGTGAATGAATTAGCTCTGAGTTCTTCTAATATTTTATTCTCTTTGAGAGCTGTGGAAGGCCCAATGATGAAAAGCCCTCGTCTGCAATGGCAGGGTAAAGGCTCGTGAAGTCCCACTCCTACGTGAGAAGTTACTGGCTGCTGGGGAAAGAAGAGCCAATTTTCTTCAGGGATTCGGCTCTTGAAAGGCGACCTGTGTTCAGGTAGATGGTCCCACACCTGTACACTTACAGGTAGCACTAAGTCGACTCAGAGTTTTTTCTTTAAGAGAGAAAGGTTGTGAAATAAGGAGGGAAAGTTGAGGGGAGGGGTTGGAGGGTGGGGAATGGGGAGGGGATTAGATCAAAACACTTTACATATGGATAGGCATAGTAACACACGCCTTTAATTCCCAGAGCTCAGGAGGGAAAAAACAGGCAGCTACGTAAGAGTTCAAGGCCAGCCTGTTCTACATAACATGTTCCAGGCCAGCCAGAGCTACACAGTGAGACCCTATATCAAAAGAGAAAAAAACAGAACATATTATATGTGTGTTTGAAATTCTCAGTAAAAAGAAAAGCTTTGGCTGTGGAGTCAATGGACTAGAATGCGGAGGCTGATGTCTGATGAAGGCAGCACAGCGGGACCCTTCGCTCAGCCTCTCCTACCCTGTCCCTCCACCTATAAAACAGGACTGGTAATGCCCACCCTCTGAGTCCTGGAATATTTAAGCAAGGCAGCACGTGCAAACACAGTGTCCTGTCCTCTTACATATCCTAAGCTCCCCATAAAACCAGCCAACCGTCTCCTGTCTCCAGAAAATGCCCCTCGGCTATGTCTTGAGACAATATGTCTGAGACATCTCACAGAAATCAGCAATTTCACACTCTTTATAAACTGAATCTCCCGAGGAGCAGGCTGCAGACCAGACTGACGCCAGGCCAACTTACTAACGAGCCTGTCCGGTTCAGCTTCTAAACATCCTTTCTCACCCGTCTCAGGTTCTCCCACACCCGAGTTCCTAGCCCCGGTACACCAACTCCAAATACAAATTTACCCCTTCTTGTGAGACACTTTCTCCATTCAAGTCAATTGAGTTGCCTATCATCCTGACCATCTCAGGGAAAACAACTTGGCAAACCCTCTTAACAAATACTTGCCCTCCTGATAAAACCTCCTGATACAGCAAGAGTAACCTCAGCAGATCTAAAATAATTTTTTTTTTATCTAAACCTCTCTTCTTTCACAGAGCCTCAGGCTCTTGTCCTGAGGCATGTCTACACAGCCCTGCCCATTCCAGATGTCAGCTGTTCAGTTCCTTCTAACCAGACTTATCCACCCACTCTCGCCTTTCAGGAGCCCCACGCAGGGCTACCCCCTGAGTCGCTGAGCCTTCCTGAGTCCATGACAGGAAGCTTCCCAGCTGCTTCATCCTCACCTCCCAGACATCCAGAGTCACATTTAGAGCAGTGCCTGGCACAATATTTCTTCGCATGTTCACCTTCCAGTAAACAAACATAACCATGTGTGAGAAGCCCCCTTTTTGCTTTTTTCCTTTTATTGAAAATAGATTATTAGTCAGGTGGGAGTGGCACACGCCTTTAATCCCAGCACTTGGGAGGCAGAGGCAGGTGAATCTCTGGGAGTTCCAGGACATCCAAGACTACACAGAGAAACCCTGTCTTGAAAAACCAAAATAAAAGAAAAAAAAAAAAGAAAGAAGATAGATGATTTTCTTTCTCACACAGTATATCCTGATTACAGTGTTCCCTCCCTCTGCTCCCCCCAGTTCCTCCCCACCTCCACTTCTGTCTGGATCCACTCCCTTCTGTCTCTCCTCAGAAAAGAACAGGCTTCTAAGAAATAACAACCAAACATGACAAAATGAAATAAAAGATAAAACAAAAACTACCACGCTGAGGCTGGACAAGGCAACCCAACAGAAGGAAGAGAGCCCTAAGTGCAGGCACAAGAATCAGAGGAATCCTCTTCTTAAAATTCTTCTCAAAATATTTAACTCCAGGAATAAAACACAGTTGCATATAGTTTAGGCTCAAGAGCCTAGCAGATCCTCTCAGTTCACTTCCTACTCTGGTATGTCACTGTATGACTAAGATAAAGGTGCTTCTGTGCTCCCTTCAGACACACAGGCTTGCACAGCTCTGAAGACAGTGACCAGCACAAAGCCAGAGTCTGCAGAGCAAAGTGGCTGTGATCATGACATTGGCACGTGGACCTAATTTGACTGCTGTCTCTAGTGACCTCTGGCGAGTTACTGATCTCTCTGAGCCTCCGTTTCCCCAGGTGCAGAGTAAGACATGCTCCAAGAGGTCTTCACGGGAATGAAAGGAACTATTGCATGGACAGACACTGAGAATAGTAGCTGGCTCTCTTGGACCTTCAGCAACCAGTAGCTATTGCTGTTATTATCTTATCTTACGATCTCAAAGATGAGATCGCTGCATGAAGCATTAAAGTACCCAGAGGTTTACGGTTACAATCTCACCGAGCACAGAGCCAGAATCCTCCCCCTGCACATTTTGCTGAGGCTCGACTCCATTATTCTTCTCCTTTGCTTTTGGAGTCCACAGAGGTTCAAGGTGGCCCGGCTTTCCGCCTTGCTCTACCGTTTCATCAGGTTCTCTCTTCCCAGTTGCATATAGCAGAGCAAAGTGTCTCTTAGCCAGAAGGGTCTCCTTGATGTTCTTTGACCCTCTCCTTTAGAATAAAACTTGTCTGGGCATGCATTACACCAGGGATTGAACAAACAAATAGTAATTTAAAACGGAGTTTAAAGGACAGACAAGGAAAGCGTAACCTTTCCCGGCAACCTTCTGCCACACAACTGTGCCCTCGTTCACAGCGCTACAGAAAAAGAAGATCTGGATTCCTCCAAATTGAATTGAAAGGTAATTGTCACATGGAATGGAGCCTGCCGTTGCTTTTCTTTCAGGGCTATGGGGTGCTCTGCACCTTCCTATTTCTTACTCTCTTCTGTGTGTGTGTGTGTGTGTGTGTGTGTGTGTGTGTGTGTGTGTGTGTGTGTGTGTGTGTGTGGAGTCCCTCCATGTTAAAACACAATAGGAGAAATAACGGAATTCATGTATAAAGACGAAAGGTGATGTTCACAATGTTCAGGTTGTCATCTGCTGGCATGCTAGGTTCTACATACTTCTTGCCGAAGACAAGGAAAGCAATAGTGGGGTATTTGTTACCAGCTAATGCTTGGTTCCAAATCCCATTATGTTTTCCACACACAGACAATATTGACTGAACATCAGTTATATACCAGGCTTTTTTTTTTTTTTTTTTAACGTGAGAACTGCAGTGTTGCATCCAACATGAATACAGCTTCTGCCTTTGCGGAGATCAAATCCTGGTAAGTGTGAGTCGATCTTAATCACATAATCACAAAAATGAAAGTAAAGTTGCAACTGTGAAGAGGCGTACAAGTTCTGATGGGTTTATTCTGAGTGTGTTATCCTCATGGGAGCTATCAAGATATCAGGAACTAAAGGCAAAAGGATGCAAGACCTGGGGTGGGGGGCGTGAAGAGGGGACCTGCCTCTGGCAAAAGAGTGGAAAGAACCTATGAGAGGTGGACAGATGGACAGATGGACAGATGGACAGTGGAAAGAGGAGAGGGAGCAAGGGCACAAGAAATGTGTGCCAGATAAAACCAGAGAGGCCAGCACTGGCCAGGCAACCCGGGGCTTTCTAAAACACATGAAGAGATTTGGTTTTATCACAAGCAATAGAATGAACACCATCGAAAGCTCTGAGGGGCAGAAGGGCTAGGAAGGGAGTGACGGAAACAGAGATTCTCATTTCAAAAGCACGGCATTTGGGTGTGAAATCAGCTCAAAGTGTGGATGTGAACCAAACTTCAGGAACCTTTTTCTGAAGTCCAAGGGGCTTATGTTCTATCTGGTGGTGGGGATGGAGCAGGAGAGGAAGAGAGATGATAGATTTTAAAAGGCAATGTGGAGAGTTAGGCAGCCATGTAAGGTAGAGAAATGAGAGCAGAGAGACTTGGCACCTTGGCCTAAGGTCATCACTCAAAACTGGCCATGACTTTTCTGTTCTCTTCACCTCAGTCCTCCCAGAGCAGGGACATCATTCAGGTCCCCCAAAGCCCTTCTTCCATTTTCCAGTTCAACTCATGGGATACTAGAGTGAGTCCCACAGAAGCAAAGTTTGCATCCAAGGAACCCTGGAGTGCTGGCAGCAACATGTGGCTCAACTGTTTACTTTCAGCATATTGCAAAGATTCAGTATATTGCAGTCCACAAGAAAAGGCAGAGCTGGGGCTGGGGATGTAGGTCAATTGGTAGAGTGCTTGCCCAGCATGCAGGAAGCCCTGGGTTCAATGTCCAGCACCATATGAACCTAGTGCAGTGGCACACATATCTGTAATTCCAGCACTCTAGAGGCAGATGTAAAGGACAAGATCATCCTTAGCTATGTTGGGAGTCTGAGGCCAGCTTGAGCTGTAGACCCTTTCTCAGAAAAATAAATAAAATAGAACAGAGCTGATTTTTTTTCCATCTCTGAAACCCAGTGTTCATAAGTTCACCAAAGCAACAGATTCCTAATCAGATATGAAAAGAAGTCATCCAAAAAATTACAAATATTTAAAATAGGAATTTATAAGCATGACTATAATAATATGTAATATAGTATAAATGCGAATTTATATTAAGACTATGCCATTACAAGCCCATAGACTTTAAAACCCCCTCACACTTCAACAAATATTGTAAGTGTTGTTGTTCAAAAATGTTTCGGGAGGTATTGCAGAAGCAGAGCAGTCTGCAGGCTATTGCTGCAGGCCAGCCTGGGGCGATCAGAGGCGCTGACACACCTGTGTGTGCTGATTGTGGAGAAATGTGCCTTCGGTCTCCAGCAGGGGACTGTCATTTTGCTCCCTGTCGCCATCATTTTCTCCTGTGCTCATCAGAGCCTCTTCCTCCGCAACCTCTTCCTTCTGGAGGATTTTCCTCATGAAGTCCCTTTTGTCCATCGGGGTTCGGATGATTTTCAGGTTGTTTGTATAGATGATTATCTTCCCAAAGTCTATAATAGGTGGAGGCTAGAGAAACAGAGAGTGAGCGTCAGCAGTCACCAAACTCAGGGTTGCAGAACCTGCCCAATGCCCTGTCCAAGAGGCAGGAGAGAAGGGCTTTGTACTCATCCAACCTGTGACTCATCCCACCCAAGGCTTCCTTTTAAGGTTCATTTATTCTTTCTAAAAGTAAGAAGAGTCATTTTCCTTCTTGTGAGGATGAGAACCAAGGAAGTTTGAACCACTCGGAGGGCAGGACTGTAGAGGTCAGAATCCAGAGCTTCTGGTCCCACCAGAACAGCCAGGACACCCCAGGACAGCCAGTGCAGAGCTGGGCACAGGCAAAGGGACTCTTTAGTCCTATACAAATATTTCTCCATTTGTCTATGCATAAATAACACTAGCTCGTACCACTTACTGAACACTATTTGTGTGCCAGACATCATGCTAAGCATTTTACTGACATCACTTCTCTACCAAACATCCATGTGAAGTAAATGCTATGCTATCCACCCTCTACAAGTGAGGAGTAAGTCTCAGTGGCGTCAAGGACCTCACTAAGGTGACAGAGTGACTTGGAAACTGTGGCTGAGATTCAAACCTAATATCTTTCTTTTTTTAATTTTAGATTCATTCTTTTTATTTTATGTGTATGAGTGTTTTGCTTAGATATATGTGTGTGCACCTCATACATGCTTGTTGCCTGCAGAGGTCAGATGAGGACATTGGATCCCCTAGAACTGGAGTTATGAGCACCATGTGGGTGCTGGGAAATGAACTTGGTGCCGCTGGTGCTTTTAACCACTGAGCCAACTCTCCAGTCCCTAACGCCCATATTCTTCACTTCCTTTCTTCCTTTATCTCTTTCCTTCCTTCTTTCTTTAGATGGGGTCTCACTCTATAGCCTTGGTGCCTGAAACTCACTCTGCAAACCAGGCTGCCCTCAAACTCATAAAGATCCACTTGCATCTGCTCGCAAGTGCTGGGATTAAAGGCATGTACCACCATGCCTGTTTTCCAAACTCCCATATATATTTTTTTTTTTTTGGTTTTTGGTTTTTGGAAACAGGATTTCTCTGTGTAGTTTTGGTGCCTGTCCTGGATCTCGCTCTGTAGACCAGGCTGGCCTTGAACTCACAGAGATCTGCCTGGCTCTGCCTTCTGAGTGCTGGGGTTAAAGGCATGTGCCACCACCGCCTGGCTTCAAACTCCCATATTCTTAACACCTATACTGCACTATTCACAAGCATTCCTTTCTTCCCACATATATCTCTATATATCATATGTATCAAATCACAACAGATATGTCAGTAAATATACCCTGTCATAATCCACTTTTGTTATTCAAATAATATGGACTATTTTATGTCAATAAGCTTCCAAACAATCATCGTTAATAGCTAATGTCTCCTTCCATGGTTTTACTATGTGTTATCTAATGCTTTGCTCATGGAGGGGGGAAAGGGGGCAATGCTATATAGTACACTAAAAAAGCTGGATGGAGGACAGAGATGTAAGATTGTAGATGTAGCTTAGTGGCAGAGAGCTGGCCTAGCATGTGTGAGGCCTTGGGTTCAGAGAGTCCAGGATGCAGAGGAGGAAAGAGAAGGAGAAAGTGGAGAGGAGGAAGAAGAGGAGGAGGAGGAGGAACAGGAGAGGGAAAGACAACCAGAAGAGTAAATGCTCAGGAACCACTTGACCAGGAACACACAGTTCTGTCCAGCTACACAGCTGGGAAGGAAACATCCTTGGAGTCCAGATCTGATGTCTACTAGTTACAAGATGCAGGACAGTCACGCACTCTGATGCACTCCGTTTTGATCATCTGCTTGTGTCTTGACATCCAGCTGGTAGGCACTTGCACAGACACGCTAGTTCCTTAAATGCAAAAGTACTTCCACACTGGTAGTACACAGATGTGCTGAAACTCCTGGGTCCTGCCACACATTATCCATTCTCCCTACTTGGGGGCATCCAACATTGTCAAGCTCAATAATTTAAGGGTTAATGCTAGCTGGGCATGGTGGTGCATGCCCTTTAATCCCAACACTCTGGAAGCAGAGGCAGGTGGATTTCTGTGAGTCTGAGGCCACAGTTCCAGGACAACCAAGGCTACACAGAAAGACCCTGTCTCGACCCCCAGCAAAGGGTTAATGCTTAAGACACCAAGCTCTAGGGCCCTTCCTGACTTCTGTGATGGCCTTATTCCCATGATTATATATTTTTACTCTAGTACTAAGGATGATATCACCTTCTGGGGGTGATATGAAAGATACAGTAAAATGGGGTGTGCAAAAGCTTTTGATAATATGCAAGTGTGGGCGTCATCACTGTTGTTATTAAAAACAATTTTTCAATAATGTATGCACACTCATGCTGTACAGCCAAACACCCCAGCATGGAATATTTTTCCTGACTCTAAAATTGTATAAACCCAGTCTACTTAAATGATGCCACAGTTCAACACTCTCATACTTAAAGTATTCAGTTGGACTCTAACACGAGGAAGATGTCAGCATGCAGACTCCTGGAAACAGCCATGGGGTTTTCAATGATTACTTAAGCCACAGGCTTCATGTCTGGCCCTCTTTTCTCCCTCTTCAAGGGATCCTGTAGCAGATTCCATTTCCTATTGTTTTATGCACACTGGATTCCCATTTCACACTCTGGACTATCAGTTTCTGGCATCGGGAGATAAGGGTGGTGGTACTTTTGAAAGGTTCTGTTTCTACTTCCTGTAACAGCCAAAAGGTTCAGTTACCAGGAAGTTTCCTCACATCTAGGGCTCTTTTCTTTCAGCTTCTTCTCTTGAAGACTAAACTCTTAATGTGCTCAAAGAATGGATGATCACCTGCTTCTATTCCCTGCCCCTAAACCGGTCAACATCTAAGACAGCAAATGTTTTTACTTCAAAGACGAAGGGTCTCGATCATTCTGAATGTGTGTTTAATTTCAGTCCTCTTGCCAGCCAGATTCCCCCTGTGTCTGAGCAAACTCTCTAGGTGTAACTGAACTTTACAAGGTCTGGTTACATCGAGCTGCCTGTGAGGAAAACCCACTCTTGTGGTACAGAGGACCAGATGGAGTCAAGAACCTTTTAGCTTTTTGCATATAGTCTAGAATGGCAGTTTACATGGGAAAGTATCTGTACCCATGCTGGTTTCTGTAGCCACATGCCTAGAGACAGTTATCCAGACACCAGCGAATGCAGAGAAGTCCTGTTAGATACTAGAAATTTAATGGGCTTTGAAGTCAGGGAAACCCAATTCTAATTTTATTCAAATGTTATGTGATGACTATGTTACATGTACAGGTTATTTTAACATGTAAATGTCTGTTTGCCCAATTTGAAAATTTCTTTCTCATTGAAACATTTAAGTATGAGATCATTTAATACATATAAACTGGGTGTTCAGTAAATGTTACCTCCCTTCCTTTCCCTGTCCACAATTTCATGAACTCTACACATTTCAGTGAGTTTTGATTCCTTAATGTAATGTATTTTTATTATCTAGCATCACCTTTCCTACCCATCACATAAAATACAAGGTAGACTCAACATTTCCTTAAGAACTTGTTCATCACTACAATAGTAGGAACCATTTGCTAAACATATATAGGGTGCCAGGCACTTTGCAGGAATTATCTATTTTAATCATCCTAATGGCCCTCCTAAGAAGGCATGCCTATTATTCTCAGGCCAAGATGATGACACTGGGGCTCAACAAAGTGAGTTTGTCCGAATTCACACAGGAAGTGGGTAGTACTGAACTTTGACAGACACCAGAGCCCATGATTTGTTTTTATTATTACAATTAGAGTAAAATAACCCGTAACATACAGTTTTCTATTTTAGCCATTTATGAGTGTAGAGTTCCCTGGTCTTCACATTGTTGTACAACATTTATCTTCAGAACTTTATCTCCCCAAACTGAAATGCTGAATCCATAACCAGCAACACCTTCTTCTCTACCCCTAGCCTGACAACCACCATCTACTTTTTGTTCTCCATTGGCTTGTGCCATAAGTACATCATGTAGCTGCAATGGTACAGGTTTTCCCGAGTGTGCATGACTTATTTCATTTAGCCTAATGTGCTCATGCTTCCTCCATGTTGAAGCACATCAAATTTCCTAAGGTGTTGTAATATTCCATTATGTATTTGTACCACTTCTTGTGTAGCCATTCATCAACTGATGAACGTGTAAGTTGTTTCCACCTTTAATTGATTGTGAATTCCTGTGAATAGTGGTGTACAGATATCTGAGTTCCAAACGCTTAAGTGAATCACTGCACTTAACTGCAACCCATCACGCTATCATAGGCAGCATGTAGGAGGGGTAATTTACAGCTCCATCTGCTGTTGGCAAGTCATGAAGCCCCAGCTTTTGTTTCCTTGTTGTTCATGAATACGATCCTGAATTGTTTCAGTTGGTAGGCTGCACAGGTCCATCATGGTCCCTGTCACATTCAGAGCTTGATGACAGTGGGATGTGGTCATTGGTAGAACAACAGAGAAAGCAAGGCATAATGAAACTAAAAAGGAATCCAACTTTCAACATGTCCTCTGGAATATTTGTGTTCTAATCTGGTTTTGCAAATTTATGTCAAATCATTCTTACATGTGCCAAAGTTGGCATATGAGTTATAAATTATCATGACTGGTATGAACTATGGCTTTATTAAATCTCAACTTCCAAATAAGATACCGTTACAAAGGACTATTGTAAGCACAAAGCATAGCTAAGTACTTAGGACACAAGTAAATAACAAGTATCACCAACATCATCATCATTATTACTATGTAATGAACTTGTTTGTTAAAAAGGAACATGCCATAGAGATTAAAGTATGGAAAACCAGGGGATCCAGATTCCTACTCTGACTCAACACCTTAGATTCTCTATATGATGTGTGACCTTTAATCAACTTGGCACATAATTTTCCTCCTTCACAAAATAGAAATGATCATACCTTGTCTTTTCCCCTTGAGAATGCAGTAAATAGAGAACATGATGGTCAGAAGAAGACAACCCATGGCAGCACTTTATAACACATAAAACATTCCACTAACATAAGGGATTTTCACTCTCAACTTCTTCATACAAAAATGAAACCTGCTATTAGTTTTGATACCTGTGGATATTACAATTATCTTTTTGCCAATATCAACAAGTCCAAAACATGTACCTATTTTCTTAGGAAATGAACAATAAAAATGATTTAAAATAATTATCTGAAAAAACACTTCCAAGATGAGGACGTATCATGGTTTAGTTACCATTAATAACTTAGATACATTACATAATTTTATGTACTCCTTAAGAGAAACAGCATTCACACTTCCACGGCCAAGAGCACAAAGCCATCTCCTAAGATTCTGGAAATCATTGAGTATTTCCTATTTTGTTTTAGCTTAAAATAGAATCCTGCGGGAGCTTCTGGTTATCCCTGCCAGAGACACTAAGGAAACCCGCAGGAGGAGCTTGCGTCATTGAACTATTAGTTCAAATTTCTTCCCCAAGAAACACTTCCCCTGTTTGATTTGCGTCTCACCATTTCTTCCCATGATTCCAGCTACCCAGCGCTCGTATTAATGAGCACCGAGAAGGTAAAACCAAATAAATAGAGCGACAATTTTAAAAAGCAGGCAGTAGGAAGGTGATAAGGAGGAAAAAAAAAGACACGGATAAAATACAGAAGAATAATTGGCTGGAGCAAAATGGGTACCTTCAAATATTCAATTCTTTCAGGAAATGAAATGACCTACTGCTGCATAATTCTCTAAAACGACAGGCTGGCAACCTGAAAACCACGGCACCTCTATTTAATTTACACACAGAGGAAACTCAGCCAAAGACCCAATTACAGTGTGTTACCCTGGATGGAATTTGAACATTGCTTATGCTCGGTACACTTTGCAATAGTAGTCAACCTATTCTGTCCAAAAAAACATATTATTCTAATAACAGCTCCCCATTTGAGGAACCTACAGCTCTGGCCGGTAACTGAACTTGAGCGAGATGCGTACCTGAAGCACTTGGGCATTTTGCTAGACGTATTTCAAGGAGCCTACCCTGTGAGCCCGTAACCTCACACAATACCAACCTTATGGTCATTCGCCTTGTAGTCATTGAACAGAGGCTGGCTCCCCGCCAGAGCGTAGGCACTGCCATCCCTGAACACGCTGATCCTCTGAGCCGTCAACTTAGGGGAGTATAGCTGGGGCTTAGGGGCTTCCCCTGACCCATAAACCCCATCCATTGGTTCAAGGGCTTCCTGGAGAAAACTGTGAGGGTATTCCTCTTTGGGTGACTCTAATTCCTGCCCATCCTCGAACACCTGCTTCAACACTCGGCCACTGTAGGAAGAGGAGATTTTAAATCGTACTTTTCTGGGTTTGTCGTCGCCCTTCTGATTCAGTTTCTTTTCGGGGTCCTCCATCAGCAGAAAGTTCTCGCTGCGGTCTCCAGGCTTCCCAGTAGCCAGTGGAACGAGGCTCTGAGGAAAGGGCATTTTATTTTCTCTCCTCGTGCATATGATTAATTCAAGTTGTTTCTGGAGAACGCTCAATTACAGCAACTGACACCCACACATTAAATATTGATAGACCTCCTGAAAAGGCAGGTGATCGTGGCTATGTGGAGTGGCTGGAACAGAGGACAAAGTGAGGCTTCTTCCTAGTCTCAAGCGTACCCCCAACTTCACTCAAGTTCCGGCTTTTCTTACTCTGGGGGTGAATACATTTATTACAATGATCAAGTACCAACTCTGTGAAGATTAGACCCTGATCAATTATCAATCACCTTGTTATCATTACCAAAACAACTATAATCTAGTGAGGAGGTTCAAGAACCTGTCCATGTGCCTCTAAAACCATGCCTGGCCCCCAGTTTTTCCGTGTCTTATCAGGCTCAGGATGCAAAGCAGTTTCTTGGGGTTTCTTCTTAGAAGAGGAAGAATCAAAGGGTCCAGAAGCTGAGCAACTGACTCTCAGCTCTTCCAAAGAACCTGGGTTTGGTTCCCAGCACCCATATAGTGACTGATAACCATTTGTAACTCCAGTTCCAGGAGTTCTGACACCCTCTTCTCACCTCCACAGGCAACAGGCACACATGTGCCTCACAGATATATGTGCAGGCAAAACACTCAAACATAAAAGACACAAAATAAAAATTAAAGTCTTCATGTGCAGCGGCTGCACTGGTCCCCACAGGCTAGTGGGACTTATCAAATTCCCATCTCTGAGACAGTGAATGAGATGGCTATCAGAGAAACCTGAGATGTCGGTCCTGTGAACAGTCCTCCGACCCTGTACAGAACACAGACCTAACGCATGGGAAATGATGACCTCGGGCTTAGGAAGCAAAGTGTCCACTGGTGGAACAGATGGCTGTTCTAGAAAGGGAATGCTTGCTAAAGAGATGAGAATGCAAGGATGAAAAAGAAAGGCTCTCTGAACTGAGTCTAAGGGGCTGGTTTGGATCCGAGGAGATGGAATGACGAGCTAAAATCTTTCTATCTTTGCTAGTGGCACAAAGATTTATTTACTTGCCCAAGCTGAACTTTCATACTCCTCAGCCATTTCTGTGGGTTCTATCGCTAATACCCCATCTTGTAATTCAATCACATTATCTATTCCCATCCCTCCCTCCAAACCTAGCCATATACTCCTCCCCATTCTCCTTCAAACTCTCTCTCCCCCTCCCTCCCTCCCTCTCTCTCTCTCTCTCTCTCTCTCCTCTCTCTCTCTCTCTCTCTCTCTCAATTGTTATTGCATGTGTGTATGTATATACATTATATATTCCTAAATACAATGTGTTCAGTCCATATAATGCTGCCCATACATATGGCTTTCAGGGCTGACCATTTGGTTCTGGACAACCAATTGGTATGCTCCTCCCTGGGGAAGCCCACCTCTCCTGTTCCCAGTTTTCCTCAGTTGCCTGTAGTTCTTTGTGTAGAGTTGGGACCTCGAGGGTTTTTCTTCATTCAGTTTGGTGTATTCATTGATGTCATCCTTGCTCAGCTCACACTTGGGGGTGAGACTTTATGAATGTAGTTTCTGATACTACTAAGAGACACCATCTCACAGCAAACTCCCTGATCCTCTGTCTCTGCCATTTTCCCCACCCCTTCTTCCCTAATATTTTCTGAGCTTTAGGTGCAGGGGTGTTTCGTAGACATATCCATTGGGACTGGACTCCAAAGCTGCATTCTGATTGGTTGTGGCTTTCCGTGGTGGTCTCTGCCTGCTGCAAAGAGAAGTTTCCTTGATGAGGGTTGAAGACTGCACTAACTCTGAGTAGAAGAACAAATGTGTTATAGATTGTTGTTATGCTGGTTTAATAAATTAGTGGTTGTAGAGTCTCCTCCAATAACCAGTACTTCACTAGCACTAAGTGGTTAGCTAGTTTCCCAGTGTGGGCATGGTTTCCCTCTTGTTGAGCGGCTCTTAAGTTCAATTAGAGAGCTGTTGGTAGTCAAGGTAATCATGCCATTGCTGCACCCTTAGAGTTATTGTGCTACGCTGCTCGTTGATGTGGTTCATAGGCATCCTATATGAGTAGGACTGTAGAGGTTGGTTGCCTCCCTCCTTCCAAAGCTTGCATGGAACCTTCTGGCACCATGAAAGCTAGTCCTCAGGGAGGGTGCTTTCAAGTCAGTTCCAGCTCAGGGGTTCCTGGGCCTTGTTTCTGAAATGCATGATGTCTTCAGCAATAGGGACTTCCTTTCCACTTCTAGGGGTAGCCAAGGACAACAACAATTGGCTGTATATTTTGGGAGTCTCTTGGGCAGTCCTGGCCAACAACATAGAAGAGTGCTTCTCATGCCTGGTGTTGGGGTTTTTGTGAAGAGGTCATCATACCGTTCTTTCCTAGGTGTTTCAAAATTACAGCTGCCTCCTAGGCACTTTCAACCCAACCTCCTTCCATTGCCTACATTAGTACCATCAGTATGGGAGTAGTGTCCCCCCACCCCCGCCAATGATTCACCAGATGCCAGTTGCTAGTTAGAGATCTTACCAGAAACCCATTGGAAAACAAGTTCTAATGCCTGTATGTGACAAAACTCTTCAAAATCTAGCCTTGGCTTCCTCCCTTCACATCCTCAACCTCTATTATGCTTCCTGGTACTGGTCTGATATTAGTGTTAAAGGCACACAAAAAAATCTCATCCGTTTCCTAAAGCCTCAGGTTTCTGTCTCTGATCTAGTACTGTTTTGGGATCAGTGGATAAGATTTCTAGTTCTCCTTTGTGCTACATACTGCTTTTGGAAGCCTCCGTACTGCCTGAAGAAGATTTTCATAGACTGTAAATCCATCTCCGATGAAGTTCTTCCCACTTTCCCTTGCCATCCTTATGTCTCCTATGTTCTGTGCATATGAGAATCCTAAGCTATCTGTGCCAGCTCTCTATCCTCAGCATTTGCTAAAGTGCCTGGTTCATGCTAGAACTCTGTTAATAATTGTTAAATTGTTCAAAAGGCTTCTGATAAGAAAAGCCAAAGGAAGAAAACTTTCTCAGCAGGAGCTGGATGTGTTTTATAGAGGATAGCTAACATGTAAGACTTGTCATGGGTAACATGTAAGGTTGTTAAGAAAAGCATGCGCCTTCTACAAGGAAGTGTTGGAGTCCTGGGTACATTAATTTCTTTTGCATTACATTGAGAGAAGTTCCTGACAGAAGCAACTTGAGGGTGGAAAGATTTGTTTGGGGTTCATGACTCAGTCCATCCTGACATAGAAGCCATGTTGGAATGGCCCAGTCCAGAGTAGCAAGGCTGTGGTGTGTGGCAGTATCTGTTCATATGTCAATCAACAGGAAGCAGACAGTTGCAGAACCAGAGGCCTTCTGCTAGAGACCTACTTCTGCCAGCCATGCCTCATCTCCTAAAGATTCCAGCCTCCCAAAATAGTGCCCTTAGACAGGGAAAAAGTGTAATTGGTGCAAGAACTATGTGGGAGAACAAAACTAGGATGGTGTGTGTGTGTGTGTGTGTGTGTGTGTGTGTGTGTGTGAGAGAGAGAGAGAGAGAGAGAGAGAGAGAGAGAGAGAGAGAGAGAGAGAGAGAGGCAGGCAGACAGACAGACAGACAGACAGTGAGTGTCTGGCTCTGTCTTCCTAGCATCAGAAGGTATATTCCTCTCACTTGGATGCAAAACTGGCCCAGATAGATGTACAACAACCAATTTCAGGAGCCTGAAATCTTGATTTCTCATCCTCTAGAAAAGCCTGGTGGGGCCCAAGTCTACCGCACCCTTGTTTTTATCCTCCAGTATATAGAAAGATTTTATTATTCTCCGTGTACATCACATCATGAATATTGGAGACCCCTTACTAGAGGACTGCTTCCTTCTACCTGTATGTGTAAATGGCCAGTAGTCTGTCTTCATCAAGCCAATCCAGTGGGCTGACGTCGATAGCTACCTGTCACAACCAAGCATGTCCAAATACCCCACAACGAACACCGTTAACAAAGACAGCCTTTTGGAAACATGGACTTCAACCAAATCCAAACCTGGAAATGAGTTTTCTGAGTCATATTTGTCCAGGACTTTTTTTTTCATGCCCTTCCCTGGCTCATCGACTTTCAGTGAGTCACAGTAAAGGTGTGGAGAGTTTGGAAATGAGCAAGCTTGCTCGACAACTTTTAGATGTTTGTGTTCTCAGAGTGGTCACAACTCATATACTCCCAGAAGAATAAACTGAAAACTTGAAAGCAATCTTGGCAGTATTATTGAAAACCTTAAAAATGTTCATACCCTTGAGTCTTACTAAGGGAGAAAATAACTGCCGTTATCAGAAGCAATCATGTCAAACCGCTAATATCAGTTGCCTCCGGGCAGAGGATGCTAAACACTTTTTTTCTCTCTCAGTTTTATTATATTTTACATGCCAATGATAAACTCACCTTACTGTGATAATCAGGCAGAAAATAAATTCTAAAAATCCATTCCTTTCAGCCCAATAATTTCTCTGGAGGAAATAATTTTCAAAGGAGAAAAATATTTATCTAGATAAAGATATTCTCCTAACATTACTTAATGCCCAGAAAAAAAAACCTTGAATTTCCATCAGTAAGCATTCAACAATACAAAACACCATGCAGTCATTTTTCAAAAGATTTACAAAAATTTCGAAATAAATATGGGAAATTTTTTTGTTACTAATTTAATAGGAAAATATAACTAAACTTTATGTTCAGTAATGTAGAATTTGCTATAGAAAGCTATAGGACAGAAAAGAGTAGATACAGAAAGAGTGGATACATTAAGCATTAGCAATTTTACCTAAAATGGAGATCAGCAGTCATCTTTTTTTCTCTTTTTCTTTTTTGGCACTTTACGGTATTTTTCTAAAATTTTTGTGATAAATAAGTACTGGTTTTAATATCAGAAGTGCTTCACATTTTTAAAAACATAGATGAATCTATGCACCCGGCTGAAGAAAACTGAATCCT